CCATATATGTATATGAAAAATCATTAAGTCAGTTGATCTTTAATTTTAAATTCTTTTAGTATTATATTTTGTTAATAAAACAGTTTTTTAAGTAATTAAGGCTGAATAGTCATCACGGCCATATTGAATCGTGATGTTAGATGCGAGAAATGACACATTAATTTTTATCAAGTACGTGCTATTTATAAATAAAGACAATTTGGATAAAATGAAATGATGAGATTGTTTTAAAATAATTATAAAAATGGACGAAAGGTATCCTTTAATCCTTATCCCCCCTGACAGTCATTTATAAAAATTTTTTAATTTTAACATTTATAAAAATAGATGAAAATTTTGCTTATCCCCTCTGACAATCAGTAAATAATCGTAAAAAGTGATAAAAGGCACATAAAATGCTTTTATTTAATGCACATGCGTAGCCTATTTTTACTTACATATGCTTTTTACCACTTTTTATGATTATTTACTGATTGTCAGAGGGGATAAGCAAAATTTTCATCTATTTTTATAAATGTTTTAAAGCGATCTCATCGTTTTGTTTTATCCAAATTGTTTTTATTTATAAACGGCACATAACAAAAATTAACATGTTATTTCTCACTTCTGATGTCACGATTCAATATGACTGTAGTGACTAACTCAGGAGCTTTAATTTAATAACTGAACATTTAAGCTATCGAAATTAAATATCCCAATGAGAGAGAGAGAGAGAGAGAGAGAGAGAGAGAGAGAGAGAGAGAGAGAGACGGGGAGGCGGAGAGAGGGAGATTTAGTCTTCTCGTTGTCAATGAATAATTAACACTTTAATATCTCTATGTAACAGAGTTCGAACGTATTGGTCATACATGGTGATAAAGCCTTATACAGAATTTCATGAACCAGGCATTGAATTTGGACTTACTTATTTTGACGATCCTGGTGTCTCCGTACCATCTGCTGTCACTGCATGGGTAGCATTGAGAGGTTTGTCAAAAATTACAAAATCAATTATAAAATTTTTTTAATGCATTTGTAATAACTAATTATAACTGTAATAACTAATTATATATAAATTTGTAATAACTAATTATTATTTTAGGTTTACCAGACTTTCTAATTCGCATGAGACGGGCCTCAAAGGATTACCAAAAATATAAACTGATGAAAAAAAATGCACCTGACAGTAATCATCTCACTTTATCTGAAGAGGACGTTTCCAAACAGCAAATCGATGTAGAAGATAAGTTAAAGAACAATAAAAAACCTATGAGAGATCATAAAGATCAACAAGGCGATTCTACTAACGATACTAACAAGTTAGATCTAACACACGATGTACAACAAGAAAATGACTTGGCGGAAAGTGAAAATAAGGATACCACTTCTGCACCCAAAGAAGAGCAAGGTTTATTACATTATTTCTATCTTACGAAATTATTTGCATTTTTGGATTTTTGACAAATGGATTTAATGAAGTAACTTTTGACTAGTAGATGTTTTAACGTGATTTCGCATGGAGGAAACAATAATCTGCCGATAAAGCTATAGAACAGATTCATGGATGTATAGAACAAGTGACATTTTATTAACATATTCTTGGATGATACATGATTTCATTGATAATAAGAATGAAATTGTGTGAATATGACAATTGTTCATCCTCTTTTTTTTTTAAAAGTATGGGTTCCATTTTTTATAAAGAGAAGAAACAAAAATATTAAACAAGAAGTGAGACTGATTAGGTATGTCATCGCCTTTAATCCATTTGTTAATCGTAAATTTGCATTATGTGTCGTAAGATAATGAACAAGAGTAAGCAAAAGGTAATCTGATTTTTAGATTATGGAAAGGTGATATGTGAGAAACTGCTTAAATTTTATAATTCATATAGTATAAAAATATCTGTACAAAACAAATTCAATTAATTGTATCTCTAAACATAGACACATAAGATATATTTGTATATATTTATACAGGGTATAACTAAAAGGTACAGCTAAACTTTAGGAGCATTCCTCACACATAGAGGATGAATACATAATATATGATCATTTATTTTTTTGTGAAGTTTTTTTTAACCTTTGAAAGCCACCTAAAACTTGTTGGAAATCTTTTAGGGTCATGACCTTGACAACATATATCAAGGTCAAGGTCATTGGGGAGATCCCCTGATCTGGAGCATTACCCACATTACATATATGTATGTATATTGTAAATTTTTGACACGGGCAATAAATATTAAAATACACATAATAATAACTTTGGTAGAAATAAATCGCTGAAATCGCTGAAAATCGCTGAAATCTCTATCAATTGACTCATTTCATTATGAATTATACTGAAATAGATCTATTGAGATAAAAATTTCACTGATTTATTTCCACCAGGGAACATTAATGTTTAAAAACAATGTTTAATCTATTATCTGTTTAATCTAAATTCTTATAAAAATGAGTACATTAAAATAACGATATTAAGAAAATGAAGAATTTGTAAAACTGTAGATAAGTTTAATATAGAGAAAAGCTTGTTCTATATACAAACTAGTTAGTAGAGAGTTTCTAGTTTGAATATTTATTTCACATTTAATATTAAATTCATTATCAGCTAATGTAACTTTAAAATCTAATAACTTAGTTTTATAAAAATTTAAAGTTATAAAAAAGTAACGAATCGTTACTTTTCAAGTAACGGTAACGATCACATGTTACTTTTTAAAATTGGTAACGAGTAACTTTTTTCAAGAAGTAATGGTAATGGTAACGCGTTACTTTTGTGAGGATCGCGCAAAATCCTGTGTATATATATATATATATACACATATATATATATGTACCCTGTATGTTATAATTTTCTCTCTGTGTGTAAATATAGGTAGACAACACAAATATGATATTTCAATCTTTCCTTTGTGTGTAATAAATATAAACGTCACAAATTTATACCAACAAAGAGTCAGTTCTTCCGATGTTATATTTTTATCAAATTTTTATTATAGGTAATGTATTCTTATAATTAATCTTTTCGGGCAATATATAAACACATCGGTTTTTAAAGAGTTAATAAAAATTTCTCTCTATTGCCAAATTCTTGATTTTACATTCAAGAAATTTAATATTTTTGAAATTGTGGTTGAAGTTATAAATAAACTTTAATTTTCATGCGAAATATAAAATATGTAAATGTATATAATAGTATACAAATATATTTTAAGTGTTTTCTATTGTATATATAATTACATGTATGTGTAATGTAAATACATATAAATATATATGATATATTTATATATAATATATATTTATATATTGCATATATGAAAATAATATTGTAACGCTTTTAAAATTGTATAAGGAATGATCATAGAGGAAATATAAAAGTAGTAAATTTCATTTGATAATATCATGTAAATAAATTATTATATATTAATCATGATATTAATAATAAATAATATATAATTATTTATCTATTTCTTGTAAAATGTTATTTACATATCATTTTATATCATTTGTTAACGTATAAGTTTATCAAAAGGTATTATACATAGAAAGATGTGCTAAAAATAAATTTATCGAGTATAAAAAACGGTTCGCTTTCGCACGAAGTCGCTGTTCTAAAATCTAGATGATCAGTGATCCGAATCAATAACTAGTGAATTTGCTCACTTTTGTAATTTTCACCTCATTTCGAGATACATAATCGACCCCCTGATTCCGGCCTAACGCTTACAAATAGCCAATAGAACACTAAAAAACAGCGCTTTTAAACATGAGCGCTTACAGCGTGTGAGCGTGCAAACCGAACGGAGTCCTTGCCTTTTTACATCATGGATGACGGGTAGGACGCGGTGGGGTCACAGTATATACAGTAGCGCAACCAAGAAGACTAGAACCAGGAGAGTCAACTCGTGCCAATAGCGGTAGTGGGGGTGAGGCAAAAAGTGGCGACGGATAACTTCCCCCACTCTTGCGCTTCATTAGTCCTCTCTGTCGCTCTATATAGTTGTCGCTCTATCGTTCTATAATCGTCACTTTGTCGCTCTTATATCGAACTTTCACACAATGCGCAGTGCCGCTGCACATCGTGTGAATAGTTTTTTGACTCACCCCCACCACGCGAGTTGACTCTCCTGGTCTCTAGTCTTCTTGAGCGCAACTCTCCTGATTTTATATTGGCAAAAATGG